ATATATACATATATACATATATATATATATATATACATATATACATATATATATATATATATATACATATATATATACATATATATATTTTAGTTATTTACTACTAAAAATTAATAGTAAATAACTAAATAATAATTAATAAGAACATAATTATGTAATTAAAAATAAATAAAAATAGAAAGCATTGTCTGTTTCTAGCAATCCGCAATATAGTTATAGTTAATGTCACAATATAAACCATAAACCATAATCAACTCTGAAGACCACTGTCAATGATTCAAAGACATATCATAAATTGAAAGAAACTCACCTCCAAATATTTTTTGAAGGTTGGGCTTGCAGAAAACATAATTTGATCCCCACCATTCAAGCACAAGGCTTGCAACTTCTCACCTTCTTTGTACGATTGACTGAGCAACTGTGAAATTTGTGGACTGTCTGTCAACTGTGATGCTGGTAGCATACCCATTACACCTTCCACTATGAAACAAAAAGAAAACATTCACACTACTTCTCAAAAATTATGGAATCGTATAAAAGCATTTCTTTCTGATTAAAAATCTGTACAAAACATAAAACTAAAAACATGTTTTGCCAAGCACAGGAAATGTAAACAAAAACAAGTGGTTTTTAAAAATACTTAAGAAGACCAATTTTTTTATATGCCTCTCTAATAATGGGCTATCAGTACATAAAAAAATAATCTAAACAACTGGAAATCGTGCAATACTATGTTTTTAATTATTTAGTGTAGCGAAGAACAATTATTTTCTCCCAGAATTTACAATTTACTTTCACTTTGCTACATTATATATTAGTATCATTACAATCTCAATGGAATTATAATGAATTATTTTTAGAGAACCTTCTTATCAACAAAATTGATAGTAGATATCTATTATCACACTATCTTAGGAGTACAACTGTTTTGTATTACAATTTTATGATTTCACAAATTGGGGTGTGGATAATATTCCAGTCAATGTTGGTGCTGCGAACAAGTGTGTTGCACATTGTCACATGGCGGCATGAGTAATATTTCGGTTTTTACAACGTGGCACATCAGGGCGTATCTTCAAGTCTCAAGGCATTTCGTGCCTTTCTCTTTCAATCTAACATGATTGCAATCGTATCAAGCAGTGCTTTTAAGGCCTTTCCAGGACAGACATTTTTGAAATAAAAGTGAAAAAATTTAAAACAAGTTTGTTTTTTTCAAGATTCCTTACCAGAAAATTAGGGTGCGGGTAATATTTGAGTATATATGGTAATTAAATTAACTGTGATTTAGCAACACATTCTCTTAAAATACATAAAATATAATTTTTCAGTTTATTTATATTTGATTTTCACTCAATAACTTATCATAAACTTTTATGCTTATATTTTATTTTTGTACATTATAAAACATAATTAGGTTCATTAAGGTGACACTGGAAGAGTTGAAAAATGAAAATTTTTTAAATCCTATTTCAATACTAAGGGGTATTTCTGCTTTACAAATGTAAATTTGCCATTACTTTTCTGATAGGATAAGGCTTGGTAAATTTTAATCTCTTTCACAATATGTTCTTAAAAATTTAATTTGATGACTTATTTTCTACAAACTAGATTGAAGGAAATGATAATACATTAATACTTTACTTTTCAAATTGTTCTGAGTAAAAAATCTTCTATTAACTAACCATTTGTTTTCTATGCCTTATTAGCCTTCTTTCAAATACTGCCAAGAGCATTTAAAAATTAATAGCTAATGCAAATTAACAGCTACAAGGAATACACAACATAATTTAATTTCACACACAATATAATTTATATTAATGCACGCGCACACACGGACGCACATATTTATATTTATTTTGAGATGGGAGAATTGAAAGAAAGGTACACAAATATTACAGACAATTTTCTAATCATATTGTGCCACTAAAAGCATACTTATTAACATCTTCAGAAGATCTCAAGAAAGTGGTTCATTATAGGCGACCTCTGAATGCGCCCTTCAACGGATTGAGAAGCACGTGACAAAGTTGGTGAAGGTAGCACTCCCACTTTACAACACTAAAAAAAATTCTTGCTTCAAATTTTTGGGTTAATTTCAGATTAAGAACACTTTGATCTATCTCCCAATACCTCAAAATAAAGATATAAAAATGAGGTTGGTCTAACTAGCATCTCCACTTTTCAAAACTTGAAAATTTTCCAAAAATTCTTGCACTGTAATTTTGGGGTAATTAGTGAAACCAAAAACAGATTTTTGCTACTCCACAACTCCCTGAAATTATGATTCAAAAATGGGAGAGGCAAACCTAGCTCTTAAATTTCCCCCGCTTATTCAAAATCTAAATATTTTTATAACATTAAAACAAGCAAATTTTGGGCCACATGCTTTAACTTCAAGGACAAAATGTTAAAACCATCCCAATTTCTAAAAATTCAAAAACTCTTGCTTATCCCATAATTTTGGGCTAAATAGTCAATAAAAAATAATTTATTTGCTATCATGCAACTACTCAAATTAAGTCTTCAAAAATAAGGGTGGTAATGATAACAACCCTACTTATTAAAATTTCAAAAAAGCTTGTGCCATATATTTGTGCTAATTAGGAACACCAAAAACAATTTTTAGGTCACTAACTCCCTAATTAATCCCTGAGAAAGCTAGCATTTTAGTTATATTTTTTTAGTTATTAATTTAGTTATATTTAGGCGTTAAGGCAGTAATTATTGTTTGTACTACTGTTCTTAAATGTTAGAGTACACGATCTTAAAAAAAGAACCCATATTTGAAAAGGGAACAATGAAATAATTGTATTAGAAGTGACAGCAAGAAAGACAATTTCCTGAAGGACCTTGGAAATACTCTCACACTAGAAATCCGAACATAAAAATTACTCATATTTCAAAAAATAGTATGTGACCTTTCATAAAGAGCTGATTTTTTGGAATAGTCTTTGTCAAAAATCTCTATCTTCAATATAGTAGTTTTGAAATGTTAACTTTTTACAATTTTAAAAAATAGTAAAAAATGGGACTAGTCTCTTTTTATCTCCCTTGATACATATAGGAGAAAATTTAAAGAAAAAATTAATGCAGTTTTAGAGATAAAAGTTGTTTTAAAAAATTTTTAATTCCTTATATTTCAAGCAAAATTACACAAAAACAACTAAATTTGCAAAAAATTTGTGAGCGACCTCATTTCAAGATGTGTCTTTAAGGATAAGATTTCATTAAGGAAATACATCTCTATCTTGAATATTATAATTGTAGAAAGATGCCCCCAAAAACATTGCACCTTTCGAAAAATCTGGAATTACAATGAATATGAGACCTGCACCATTCCCTTAAAAAAGGTCTTTATTATATTTGATGGCAAAATTGAATCACAAAACTGAGATAAAATATTTCGGCTCCACGTAATATATCCTCCAAATCAAAATGTACAGTTGAAACTCCCAAAAACTGAAGTTCATTCAGATCGATCAGGGAATATCATTTTGGAGAAAATCGGCGGAACTGATTAAGCACTAGTATTGGCCCAACACCACCTGTATGTCTAAGTGGTGTTGGTTGCTCACAAACGGATGAACAAACATTTTGCCATCAATTGATTTTTCGGTATCAAGGACCAATAAAACATCATTTCTGCCTACACTATGTGTTAGAGGAAGTGGTTTACTATATACAGCAACAGGATATATCCACTTTATCGTTACTAGGTCCAGGCAATATGTTTTTGTGCCGAAAATTTGCCATTTTCTGGCACACGCTTTCATCACATTTTCTTCTTACTAATTAAGTGTGACAAAGTAAAAATTCTGAAAAATTGCAAACCTACTCCAGGAGAATAATATTGTACTTACGCACTACTTCCAGTATTGAATAAAAGTTTTAACAGAGAACAGTTTTTAGACTTTTTGTTTAACGTTTACAACAAATCTATATTTATCCAGATGTAGGAAATCAATACTTTTTTAATTGCAAGCAAATTTTTGAATATGCGATAAACTCTGGGCATAAGAAAGTTAGATCTTTTCACAAGGGGTTATTCACCTCAAAATACCTACATTTCAAAATATGTAAAAGAAGTATACAAGGATATATTATTTAAGCATGCATTGGCAATCTCATTATCAAAAAAAAAAATTTAAATAAGGAAAAGGAAAAATGTAATAAAAAATATGCCAACTTCTTTCTGATTTGCCACAATAAGTAAAAAAAATCCAACCTGACATTTGTTTGCAACAATCACATACAAATAATAAACACAAGTTACAATAAATTATAAACATTTATTGTGGATTAAGAGAGTATCTTAAAATATTCTTGGATTGAATTCCATTCTCTACAAGTAATGGCAAATTCTCAGCTAAACAATGATATACTTATTTTATTCTTTGACATTCTTCTCCAAATGAACTCAAAGATTCTCGACAAATGTATACAAGAATTTAATTGTTTATTAAATACATATTGACAAAAAGGATGTAACCAAAATAATTTTGGGGTTGTCTGGTTCTCTCTGGATTGACTGGCAGACATGTAATTTGGGCTTCTTTTGAACAAGTTCTGTCTTCATCAGGATATCCAAAATCATAGCACATAATCATTACACACTTTAAATTGAGAATACAAATACCAAAAAGTTTATCACGTTTTAAAATTAAGGCCTCTTTAAAATACAAAGACTCATTCTAGTCCTCAATCACATTTTTACAAAAAAGAAATAAACAATTCTACTAACAAACCATACAATTTGTATTACAATTGTGCTGTTGTTGCCTAAATGACACTACTACAGAGCAATTTCTACTTTACTCTGTGACAAGGTATGTCAGGTTGAAAAAATGTTCAAGGCACTTTCTTTTTGGCAACAAGGACCCCAAAAATGGGAATTCTGACTACCAAGCACTCGAGAAAGTGCTTGGCTACCAAAAGAAGCAACAAAAATGTTCTTTTATGATTTCAGAGACCAGCAAACACATGTTTTGCTGAAAGAAAATCATCACTTTTTCCTGCAGCGTTATACTATAACTTTATCTACCTATGATATAGATGCAAGAGTATGAAAATCTGTCATTTTTGAGAATTATATTTCTACATTCTAAGAAGTACTCTCCAAAATTGGAAGAGCCATTTCAATTATGGAAGACCTCGACAGCCTTGGTCAGAACGTTCAGAGAATATGTTTAAGAAAACGAGTGAATGGGTTAAACCAATGCCACCTAGACACTAATATAAGGCCTCTCGACTGCCGCTGTGAGTAGTCATCACGGCAAACGAATCTTTCGCCGGCAGCACACTTACGTCAGTTAACATTTACTTACCTTCTTGGCTGCCTTAATAATGATACTTTACAGAAAAAAAAAATCGCAGCATGTTATTGTATTTCATCAATTAACAGTTAATTTTAACAAAAAAGAGATGAATGATTTTAAATTTACAGTATTGCCATATTTAAAATCATTGTGCATCCCAGTGCGGCAATAAATGAGGCAACTACACGATTCTGCTGCATGCATAACACCATTTTCCATTTTAGGAACATTAATTTCATGTTTATCATGATTTAACCAGTTTTTTAAGCACTTTGAGAGGTACACACTGTCAAAAGAAACAATAATTTTTTCTGTGGAATTAATATGGACATTCATAAGGTATTTCTAGTTTTGGAGGATCAGAAAACATTACATGCCTTTTCGTTTCACAGGATTATTGTCAGAAATCATTGCAATCTCTTCAAAACCAATCTCTCCCAGCCCTTCAAATATGATTTTGATATAGTGGTTTAGCAACGCATCTGTCAACTTTCTGACTGGAAATTTATGACCTACATGATGATACTTCTTTATTAATGGCAGTTCCTGCCTTCTGTCTGAATTTGACATAAAGAATATTTCATCTATTAAGTGAACCAGTCTTGTCATTTTCATTCGACAAACTGAATTTCATTCCTTTGTACTACAAAGCATACTCTGGATTTTTCTCCACTTTTGGGGTTTTGGATTTTGTAGAAACCAATTTCAATGTAGAAGAGCACGGCAACTTCACGTAACCCGAACTTGTGACGTTTTTACAATTTTTTATAAGTACTCTGTATCAAAATTGCTCTGCTACAAATATGTTCTTTTCACACAAATTTAAAGCATGGATGTTATTACACCATAAAATGAATAAAAACACTGTTCTCATGTAATTATATACACGACAGTAGCAGTTCACACTGATGCACATGTAGACCACACTTTAGCCCAAATGTAATGTTAAGACTACAAGTTGTGACATCAGAAGCAAGATTGCTGCCGGCCAATAGGCCTCATGTTTTAGGTGGCATTGGTTAGACATTAGTGTTCTTCACATAACACAGACAGACAAGAAGTTTTTGAAAATCCTTCCTCTGCACCAATCCACAAAAATGTGCATTTCCATCAAAATAATTTTTGACAAAATCTACAGATTGTTTTAACGCATTTCATAATTTTCTCTATACTACATATACAAGAACATAAAAGTTAAAAATAGTTTATAGGTATACTTATTAGCTTTTTTAAATACTCAATAATTATAATTAATTTACCTTCTTCTTGAACAATCAGTCCATCTTGCGTAATTTTTTTAACAATTACAGTATACAGTTTTCCAATTTCCAAGGGGTACACCAAACAACTTTTATTTGATTGATTTTTTAGAGGTTGAACACTTAGAATAAGTTTTTGTTCTTCATCAATTACTTTTAAAACCTTGCATTTCACCTACAAAACATAAATGAAATTAATATTTTATCATAAATGCATGAGTAAATTGAAATGTCTATTCCATATAAATTCAACACAATAAAATTCACTAAAAAGTAACAAAACTTATCTACAAAGATCTGTTGTCATTCACCATTTATTAAAAAGCAACTAACTTTTATGAACATTTTACTTACAACTTGTCCAACATAATATAACTTGTTCAGGTCCTTGTCCATGCCTCCAACAACATGTTGTTTCGAGACAAAAGTTGTAAAATCAGCATAAAACTTTACTAGCACTCCTTTGTCATTGACTAATACTATAATGCCCTCATACTGAACACCACATTTTCCATCACTAAATTTTGTCAATATAGGATTACTTGAATTCACTAATGCGGGTTTCAGTGTGAATTCACAAATAGGATTCTTCACAGTAAGGACCTAAAAATAAAAACATTGGCATTAATTACTTCCAAAACATTCCAATGTAGAAAATAAAAGGGAAATGCTACATGTCTACATAGGACCTCGTTAATAGAGCTCAGAAAATGCCCTATTTGCCTATATTATTTCTTTGAATGTATTTTCAAGCAACTTACTTCACTTATCCGTGCCTCTATCTATGCCAAATGTCCATCTTAGAAATGACTTTTGCGATAATTTTATAGTGGCTATAAATGCCTGTATTAGAGGTAATTGCTCATTCAAGCGTTACAAACCTATTAGTGACTATCTTGATTTTTCCACACTTTTTATATTTTCTGTTCCAATTATTTTGTCTTTTACTTTTTTAAGAATTCAATGTGGGGAAATTTTTTGTCAAGTAGTGTCAATTCCCTAACTAGTATCAGGGCGATTGAGAAACTATGACCTATGTTGCTTGTGATACAGCAGGGACACCACTTAGAATGTGTTTGAATTTGACACTGTGCAGAATAAGCTTATCTATTTTGCCAAAGCCTGTTTGGGCGCTTCCGTAAAATTATGAATGCACCACAGTTCATTTCCAACCAACAGCTGCACAATGAATTCCATCTCAAAACTGTAGAAAATTACATTGCATATCTCTCCACACAATTTTACCATAGCTTTCCTCAAATCATGAGAATATGTCCCCTCCTATTGGGTAGAAGTCCTACTCATGCTATCCGTATTAAAAATAAATTTCCCTTCCATACCTTCCTTCCAAAGTTTTCCGAAAGGTAACTCCCCTGAGGTCTTCCCGCAAAGGATTCCTCCCCCAAAAGTGTGATTTTTAGAATTACGTTATTGGGATTAAGTTTAAATTAAGCCAACAATACAAAGTGAAATAAACCTTGTAAAATCTGAAAATGTTTATAGTAAAAAAGGGTGCTCCAGAGAACACAAAATTGCTCTCGCCTTTCCGGTCTTCCGAAAAAGAAGGTTTCTCAGCAGATGGAAATATAATTTTTTGTCAGTGTTGTAAGTGGTAAACTGAGCCAAAAATATATCTAACACATAAAACACAGCAACTCCAGTAAAGTGTAGGAAGAGTGAGAAAAACTACTCAACCCTTTCTTCAGCAAGTGTAGTATCAAGATGAATACAAGAAAAACTGACTTGTGCCGTGCACTGATTGCTGCAAACTTTACTATTTTAAAACTTTAAAATCCAACAACAAACAAAATCCAACTTTAAGTGTAACCATTTCTTGACAAGATATAAATTTCCACACAAGTAGATTCTTAGGAAATAACATCAAACTTCTCAATATGTTTTTGCAATCGAAGAAATCCAATTTGGTTTTAAAGAATTGTGTTCATCCTTAATGTAGGTACTACATCTAAATTTGAGTATTGAGGTTTTGATCTTATTATCAACTATAATATCTATTTTTTTGCATATTTTAAGCTTTTAAGTGCCTATTTTCAACTACATGAGCTAAACTCATAATTTTAAATCCTTTAAAAAAATATTGGACATAGCATTTAATTTTTTCATTAAATGTTTGTGTTAAATATCAAAAAGGGCACACCTAAATAATCAATCTCAAGAGGACAAAATAGTGTAGAGTCACAACTACTTCTTAATCTCTATGATTTAAATAAACGATGAATGCAATGTGTCAAAAACGAGACTAGCTGATAGCTGTGTCTGGAAAAAAAGAAAAACCATCACAATTATACAAACAATCCTAAAAACAAGCCCACAAATCTCTCCAATTGTCTGAACAATCTATAATAATTAGAGCATCAATTACACAGATCAACAATGAAAAATCATCAGAAATAAAATGATGTGTGCTTTACTATTTATCATGTCCTGATACCAAATATGTACTCACATTTTCTCTAATAAGTATCATTTTTATGATAAGATAATTTTAATATGCTATATGCATGAATTATGCCTATTGCCTAGTCTACAATGAAAAATCATCAGAAAAGAAAATATGTGAGATTTACTAAGGGTCACACCTTGTTTCCAAATAGTATGTGCTTAGATTTTCCTCGATCATGAAAAGTTTTCAGATACGACGGTTTTCATATGGTGACTGCCATTCTCTCAGAAAGTGGTAATGCTGGAGATTAAATGTGTTACCATTACACAATTGTGGGACCATTACACAAGTGTTGCATTGATGTACGTCACCTAATGCTGCTGGCAGTTGCAGCAACATGCCTCAATACCTGCACATACGAGTCGCTTAATGTTTGTCTTTTTGTTTTCTGTATTTTATGCAAATCGGCACATGAACAGTCTTGGTGATTTACGTTGTGCCCACAGCTCAAGCTACAATGTAAGTCATGATAATGTGTGTTTTCTAGCTTTCAATGTGCGACGGTCGTGTAGGCGATGCACTTTGACAAGAGCGTGTCTCAGAGCACTAGACAGATAGTGTAAATCTAAGATGCAAGTTAAGTGCCTCGTGTGCGCAGGCATCGACGCATCCTATGCCAACAGCAGTAGGCGATGTGCATCAATATAATGCTCTTGTGACACAGACCAAATTGTCATTGTAAGTATTAATTCCCTTGAACTTTTACATTTTGTTTAAATGCATTTAATTTTTATCATGCAATATTGGTGAATGATATGCAAAGTCACAAGGACAATACTAGTGCCCCTAGTTTTACATCCTGTAGATTTGCCTAAAATTGCAAAATGGAGGGTTGAAACACCCTACGTAGCAACAAAATTAAACTACCTGAATACTGAATTGTACACCGAAATACCTTGGACTCCTCTACAAAAATGTTCTCACTTATTGGTCACCTAAGTTGTTTACATTTGGATGTTCTAAAGTCTTAAAGAGACTTTCATAATGAACATATAGCATGCTTGAAAAATGTATAAATGTAAAACATGTATTGGAAATAATTTAGTATAAGAAGTACAGGAATTTGATTTGTTTTTTCTCCTTTCTTTCTTTTTGCTTTTCTTCCTCAGAAAACCACCATTCTATGAATATAATTTCATTTTCTTATATTATGACTGTCTTATTATTAAATATAATTATGTTAATATGGTCCTATATAAATTAAATACAGTCAAATTATAGTTGGTAAGAAATTAAAAAAAACATGTTAAATATTTTCTTTATTATTACAAAAATATGGAAAGCATCATGATCTTGGGTGTCTTCTGTACAAGATCGTGAAGCAATCCACATTTTTGTAATAATAAACAAAATATTTTACGTAATTTTCCCAATTTCTTACCAACTATAATATGAAACATGTCTATAAATCTGTCTATAAATATATGTTGGACCATATTTACATAGAATATAATTTTGTTGTCACTTGTTAATATTTGAACTTTTTCGTTAAGTTCTCACGCAACAGGTAATCCAAATTCCCTCAATTTCATTTCATGTCAATGAATTATCACTCAGAAGCCTCTACCATTCTCAGCACATTTAAATTAAAATCTAATTATAATCAAATTCTCACCTTTGCTTTCACTTTTTGACCCTTCGTGAACAATATGCCACTGTCAGGCACATCAGAGAACTGAATAGGTTCCACAAACCCACGAATGTCATACAGCTTCAAAGTAATTCTTTTATCTGAACAACGCTGCACAGTACATTTTGTAACTAGACCTGGATAAAGCTCATCTATACTTGTATATTTTTGCTTTATGATGGATCTGCAAACAAATACGGTTATTTTTTATGAAACGTAGGCAATCAACAGAAATGAGAACAACATACTTCCTCTTATCATTTGCACATAAGAAATCCATTCAAAGCTTGTTCATTATGAATTAATATTTCTCTATCTATTCAGATACAGAGACCCTCAGTACAAATCTTACGTTTGTGTGAATTGCAAAGAGCTGCCATCTGTAAACAACAATTTCAAACAAACTAATTTCATTTACATTGCTTTTGGCATTTCAAAACTTGTATTGTAATGCTGCAGGAAAAAGTAATGCAAAAATGTTATGTGGGTCTCTGATTTCAATCAAGTGGACTTTCCTTTCTTCTAAATGTAGTATATTACTTTTGAGAAAGCAACAAACAAGAACATGATATGAAGAAAATCTGGTGATTTGGAAGAGTATGTTCTCAATTGGTGTCAGCTGAAAGACCAACACAAATTCAAGGCACAAAACATTCAAAGAAGTCTTAAAAAGTTAGAGGATAATGAAGTATAGGAGGAGGACTACCAAAGAAACAGCGATAAATGAGAAGATGAAGATAAGAACAAAAACCATAATTCTGATGATTTTAATTATGAAGAAAATTGTGACAGCTCAGGTAATATTTTTTTACATTCTCATCAGCAAAAGAATTTTTTAAACAGTGCAATTTTGTTTTATCTAAATAGAGTTAGTTAAAATTTCTCAGGAGGCCTCTTCATTTTTAGACGGTCATCTTATATTTGGGTAAACAAGTATTTTACTGGAAATTTTCTTTTTATTATCATTATCATCATCATCATCATCATCATCATCATCATTTTTTTTCTGCATCAGGAACACAAACTATTCATTGCAACTGAAATTTCAGGCTAGAATTTTGAATACTTTACAGATATATTACTCTTCATAATAAATTTATAGAAATGAAAATTTGAAAAAATTGAATTTTGGGTAATCAGGAGAAACAAAATTTTGTATATAATATGTTTATATCATGTAACTCTAATGTTAAATACGTTTGTTACAAAACAAACTGAAAACCATGTACATACAAAGTAGTTTAATAATTCTTGTTACCTTTTGAAAGTGCAAATGTACTTCTCAGCCATAAAATCATACTCAAGAACTTTACATTCATGATATGAACCAGGAGGATATTTCTTTTTCACCAGGTTAAGAAACGCTTTATCCTGTATATTTTCAGCAATATCTAACTGACGTACAGACACCAAGCCATAGTAATTAAAATTCTCCCCAAATTCCACCAGCAAGTTTCTTCCTTTCTTGCTGATCACCTACAGAAATAAATTTATTCATGACTGATTTATTTTTGATTGCAAAAGTCAATGAAATTTATATTGTTAAATTATTTAGGCACATATTGTTATTTCCATGATATGGTAAATGTTTTATAGATTGCACAAAACCTCTTACCCTTGCTTCTGAAAACCTACTTCCTTTTTTAAATTCCTGAAAAGGAGGAGGAGGAGGGTGTGGATCACACACACTTTTTAAAGCAGAAAAGATAACATAGTCATCCAATGGTTCAATATATAACACTCTTCCTAAAAGCAATGCATTTTTTTTCATTTCTCTAAAATCTCCATTCATGTGATTGGAATGAACATAACCATACTGGTGGCGTGCGAATTTCACCATGAGACCTTTTGGATGAACCTGTGAAATTTCAATAGCATTTGTTATTATTAAACAATTGTGCCAATTTATTTGCATATTACTGACAATTTGCTGGAAAGATAACAAGTTTAAAATGTAAGTTCTTGAAAATTCTGTTGATAATTGTACTTGAAAATATAATTTAATTCTATATTATATTGAGCTTTAATCACAAGGGAAAGAAAGGTTAGGTTCAAGCACAATGAAAATAATTATTCCGTAAATAAAGCTTGTTTAAAACCTGCATCATCAAAAATATATATTTAACCAAATTTTTTTATTGTTTAGTTTTAAACAAGCATACATATTAAGGTAATGTTGCTTGGTGCCTATGACTATGTAGTTGCCTCCTATCTACAGGAGGAAGTGATAATTGCAATGAGCTGTTGTGGATTTGGTGAAAGAGCAAGTGCAGAAATGAAGGCACACTTTATTTACTGTGTCACTTCAATACCATTATTACCAGTAACAAAAAAGACACAATTAAGGAAAAGTGTGGTTGACGTTGCACTATAATCACATTTAAACATTAACACATTTATTTATTTTTAGCTGTTGTCACCCCAACACATCCAAGCCCTTGAGCTTAGCCTTTGAGCCATTACTATCAATACCAAAAGAAAACTTAAAGTTTATAAAAAATAGTAGGGAGAGACAGAAGTAGTTAAGTACGGCAGTACAATTTTCATTAATGAGATAAAGAAATTAAAAAGTAGAAAGTAAAAACAAACCTTTTGAACTGAAAGCTGGAAACACTTTCCCACAATTCCTGAGTTCTGAGGTACATAACTCTTTTCATCAAAATACTGTGACAATTTCTCAGGATCTACAGTTAATTCCACATTTGCAGAACCTTCAGAAGTAATGCATTTAGTGACAAAACACCTGAGAACTTGACCAACACCTGCAAAGAACAAATATCAATGAAAATGAAATGATATCACATTATATCCCAATATTCTATTATAATTATTTTAGGTAAATGTAATGTACATTATTTGGGATAATATTTCAAAAATACATTTAACCACACAGTACTACTACCATATTCTGAAGTGGTCATTCTGGACTGAGAGCCAACATGTACCCAAGAGTGTAAACAAAGTAGATTAGTTAAATAAAGCTGGAAGATGGATATCTCTGAAATTGAGTTGGGCAGACCCCTATGTTTCTGGGATAACAGCAGGTGCATGGCCAATTGAGAATCCATCAACATTGTTGATGGGAGGTTAAACAAGAACAGTGACTTAGTGCTCTGTGCTGCAGACTCCAATGGATTAAGGGCTTGGTAGAACTGAATTATGGTTATGATTTCAGATGAAGGCATCTTTTTACCATTATTCTTTTTCTAACAATCCCTCCCAAGAAATTTTCCATGCTGTGCGAAAGCATGTGTGTTTAACACAACAACTGCTCACTAGCAGTCTGTAGGAAAGAAAGATCTTCCAAAATACAGATATAAAAGCAACCTAGGAAAGACTCAGGCCTGTCAACAATACTTTAAAGAAAAGTTAATAACAATGGAAGATCAATATTGCAACTTATAAGTATGCAGAAGTGTTTCAAAGAATATGCACCAAACTAGTGAATTTCTGAACAAATTCTTTTTAATTAAAAAAAAGGGTACAAAAAAATGTGCAAGGCCACTTTGTTTTGTTGCATTGGCAGAGTGGGAACAATCCGAATTTTCCAGCAGTAGTGGCATAATACTAATGGACAGAGCATGGTCGAAAAATCTAAGGTTTTCAAAAATATTACACCTTGCACATATTTGTTTCAGTGAAAACTGTTCTGCGAAATGTACAATGATTCAGATATCAAAAGCGAACTTTTTAAGTAACTTTTTAACCCACTCTTTATTTACATGTCATATTGTGAGCTATAGCATAATTGTATTACAAATTCAACAACTTTCTGTACATAAAATACTTGTTTGACGAAATCAATGATTACTTGCATACTTGTATGCCAAAGGTGTGTGTATCACCCTACATAACCCATTAACATCTGAATTAATTTTGAACTCACAGCGCTTCCCTGCTGTCATTGGTCCATATATATCAAGTCCTAATTGTAGCACAGCAACTGTTTGCAACTTCCATTGCTCTATTGTTGTTATGGTGCTAATTTATACAACAAGAGCGCTACAAAGCCCCAATCACTGGTTTTATTACCAATTTTTGAATTAATAGCAGCAGAACCTTTTGCCTTTAGCTGGTTGTACCCTGACAATTCCAGTGTGAACAAACCACTGATTGCTTTCCACAGGCCTCTCCCTTCAATTTATCCACAGGCATACCCCAGGTAAGCAATTATAGGAGAAGATTCAAGCCAACACAATTCACGACTACATCCTGACCAGGAGCATACAATGATTTAGCAATATTAATAAATTAACATCCCAAAACGTATGTTTTGTTTAGAATGCCTATGTCTATTGATGAAATAAAATTCAAAAATTAATGCAAAAGAAACAAATTTGAGTTGTCTGGTCAAATAAGGTCTCTGGGAGTTAATGCTTTACTATAGTTACAAAAAGGATGAATGCAGAAACTGATTGGTGACGTAACATTCAAGTCATCTTATAACTAGCAGCAGTGCATGAGTAAATCAAACCTCCCACATATAAATATCAAACCACATTCTTTAATGTCAACTAACCACACCTCCCATTATCAACATATAATGGAAATATTTACTTTCATTTATTGTGCATGGAGTAAGCAATGTGCTATCCCATCTTGCAACATCCATGGCGCTAATGGTGGTTTTATGGAAACAAATTCTGTCTTTGAAGACATTTTACAGCGGCCCTGCTTTGTTAAGGGCCATCAGGTAAGTTCATTTCATTTAGAATTAATGCTTGATGAATGGTGGAGCTTTGACAAATAATTTCTGCTCAGACAAGTACTCACACATAATAGAGAAACGTCACTCTGGTCCTTTTTGTTTCTGCTAAACCTGACACTTCTCAGCTGATTCTCAAAAACCTTTTGCCCTTCACAAAGCAATTTAACTAGCAGCCGAATGTTTACTTCATTTATTTGATTTGATGGTATTAACCACATTAGTTACGTTATATAATTATATTAGATTGGCATCCACCATCAGTTACAATTTTATTTTTGTTCAATTTCCAACACAGATGTAATTCATCCAATGTGACTATTTTTGTTTCAAATGAGCTTAATAATACAAGAACATGATTTATAGCAATTTGAAAATCAAGACAGAAAACTATGAAAAATTACCATCAAAGTAATGTAAAACACTTACAATAAAAGTTTCCACAGGCAACTGCACTATCCTTATTTGGATGAATTCATTCAACTTTGCACTGTTGTCACAATATATTTTGTGTCCCATTATGTTAGCTTTCCAATATTTTACTTTAAAATTACCATATCACTGAACATATTCATTAGATGTGTACACAAATTAGGGTCACAATGACTTACTAACAATTTCTACAGTATAAACAAAAGGAATTGACCACCTGCACGCGTTGTTACCAATTTTGACAACACACTAGCTGATTATCCGGCATTGCCTGGGTTTATTTATTGAACTTCATTTAATAGTCAGCTCTGCTGTACCTAACCTAAGAGAGATAACATCTTACAAACATAACTGGTCGCTTGGAGTAATAGGACTCCAAGGATTAGGTGCACAGAGGCATTTGGTATACTTTACTTGTTAATAAACTTCTGTAATCACATAATAGATACTTATTAATATAAATTTATAGGTGCAAATTTTAAAAATTTATCATGATTTTTTTCAAGTTCAAATTTATTTTATTTTCATTTATTTCAGGCAAAAAATTATTTATTCTTTTATTTTTAAGACTATTGGGACAATAATATTAATTTGACAATATCTTTTGTCTGTGGAAATTTCAAACACTAATAATTAATAATGTCTCTATCAAAATATGAAGATAACTACAATTGTCCTGTAGTTTTCTCAATCATGGAATGTTTTGCAGTCCTAATTTCAAATGAATTGTCACATCAATGTGACCCACAACTTATTCTTAATAAACTTAACCAATACCTTATTCACATAAATATACAAAACAGTTTCCATTTAATGTTAATATAGATTCACAAACAAAACAATTAATAACGCAATTGTAGAAGTGGAAGAACACAAATTAGGCTGAGTTTGTAGAATTTTAATATCTTTGAAAATTAGGGAAGAAAAATATGGAAGTGTTAAGCAAATCCGGGGAAGGATCAAGTGTAGTTGAAGATTTTGAGACAGAATTTTCAGAACTAATGAAGAATGATCTTACGTTAGGATTAGAGAAAAACCCAGAACAGGTAACAGGTGATCTTTGTACATTATTGTGCATATTAGCAAAAATCATAAAAATGTAGCTGCACTAAACTAAGTCATCATCAATACCTGCAAGTATCTTTTTACGGTGATTATAATTTTGAAATTGCAATATTACCTGTTCATATCCCCAATGGAAGTAACATACAAGGCCATTGAATATTGGAAATTTTTGAAGGGGAGTGTAACATTATCAGCTACTATGATTCATTGGAAAGTCCAATGCCAGAAACTAAGAACGTATTTGAACAAAGCTATACATGTAAGAAATGAAGTACAATGAAACTTTCAACACATGAAAATATTTTCAAAACAGTTTACAGCATCAGCAACACCACATTCAATTAGTAACACATATCTAATAAATTAATACCTAATGGTTTGCCATCATTCCACATATTTTCGTAGTTTAAAGCCTGATCTTTCTTCAAGATAGCTTTGACACCATGAATACCACAATTCATTACATAAACATGCTCTTCGTTACTCTGGACAGATGCTGATAACAATAAACCTTCCATTATGTCATGAACAGTCACAGATCTGTTAACTCTTCCCGGAATAAGTGACAGGGTCACTTTTGTCTTTCCCTTTACAGCACAAATCTCTTCTACTCTAGTAACAACAAGTTGGCCAGGTTTAAACATATCGGTCAGCTCTTGAAGTTCCTGAAAAATTTAGTTAGTTTAGCAGGTAAGAGAAACAGGAGATGGAAACAACAACAACGACAACAATAATAATAATAATAATATAAGCCAGAATATTTATGTAATAACATATTTTCCTGATGTATCTGTTAAGTCTATCAACCATTCATGTTTCATACACGTTAGTGCCCAAAAATTATGATGTTTTAGTACACATATTTTCATACTTTACCTAAAAGTAAATATATTTACATATTTTGCCTATTTTTTTGTACTATTTTGTACAATTTGTACTATTAGTGCAATGCTATGAGGGAACAATTCTTTCTCACTGGATATTGACTTTTCCCAAGAGAATCTGTGAAAGTTTAAATATGCAATAGTGACTTCATGCTATGAGGAGCGCTCTTTTAGTCAGTTCAAGACCCTCCTACAAGAAAATAGGAAAAACATCATAGCTGAAAATTTGAAACTAATATTTGTTTCTAATTGTTATGGAGATAATTGTAAATAATAGGGAAATGAGAATATACTGTTTAATTCTGGTCTATATATTGAGTCTACAGAACAATCTATATTCTAAGATAAAACTATTACAATACAAAAGAATTCATATAATGATGTTACTTATTTCTTACATTTGTGTACACAATTATATGGGCAATATTATTATTATTATTATTATTATTATTATTATTATTATTATTATTATTATTATTATTATTTTTATTATTATTATTTTTATTATTATTATTATTATTATTATTATTATTATTATTAATAGTAATAATAATAATAATAATAATAGTAATAATAATAGTAATAATAATAATAATAATAATAATAATAATAATAACTTTCAAAAGGAAAATATTTTCTATTAAACTTACTTTTGCATCACCTCTCAAAAGCTCATTTAAATATTTACAATATTCTTCAGAAACATTTGCAGCTGGAACATAGCCAACAATTAATTCTGGTAGATTAACCTTCAATTCAACCGTAGTAACTTCTCTTACATATCCAACGATTATAACCCCTTCTGAGAGCGTCTGGAAAAAAAAAATCAACATTCTCTTTTTTCACCATTTCAAAAAACAATATCATTAAAATATAAACTGAACTCAAAAGTTTCAATGTAACTGACAGATAAATTTTATGGTCAAAATACACACTCTTAGTTTGGTTTAAAACATAATAACCATTTATTAGTCAATTTATAGTCAAAAAAGGAAGTTGATATTCTGCAGGGACATAGTGTGCTGTGTTCTACATAAGTGGCAGGAAGCATGTGACTGCCACAGCCCTACACTGGCAATACCCCCCATGCTGCACAGGAAAGCAATTAGTTTCATTAGTCACCTGTGCCATCCTGCAACTGAAAGGATCTTTTATGTTATTAGGCAAGTAAAAAACTTTTATGGAACTTCCACCAGCACAAGACGCATTGATGGGTGTCAAGACTGGGTGACCCATGCATAATCAAGTAAGCAGAGAGAGCACAAACTCATGAGGATCTAGAAAAATTACTAATGCAAATGTACAAAGCAAACAATTGAAAATTAATTATTTTTTTATAGACTAATAAAATAATTGAAATTTTCAGTTCATGCAGTTAATGTATTTTGCTATATCTCTACATTAATAAAATCAATCATTGTGGAGAAATTCTATTTAATTTTGACATCACTGGATATAATGAACTTCTGATATAGTGAACCAAAATTGTCAGTCCCCAGAAGTTCACTATAACCGTAATCAAATGTACTTTGCTGAACAATTTTAATTCCAAATTTGAAAAAACTTGTTTTTTGAAACTTTTTCTAACAAAATATAAAAGTACTTCCTAAAGCTGTTGGATCTATGAATTATTTTTTTCATTAATAGAAAATTTATTTTCAATTACTTTCATACTCATATTATGTAATTTAATCAATTTCATGTGATTAATATCGACATAAATCAAAAAGATGACAATTACAAAATCATGTTTACTAATCAAGAAGGAGTGGTACACCAGATTTGAAATAAAACTGAACACTCAAAATGCCTGATCCAATGACAATACTGGACCAGAAACGAGTCACCATGACAAGCACCTAAGGAAACCTATATATTAGCAATGCTCTAAATACAGCCCTACGAAACAACGTTATGAATTATATAAGGTCTCAGCATGCCACTGCGTTATCCGTTTTCAATTCTGACACTTTTGTTTCAAATGTTATCAAAAATTGATAAATTATAAATATTATTTCTACAGGCAACATTCCACTTCAGTTAATAAAATAAAGGGTTAAAGTTTAGTATATGGTACACCCTTATCGAAGCGTGGCGGCGGGGCTTAAGCCCTAATTACTGTACGTGCTCTAATAGAAAGGAGTAAAACTTACGAATAGGAGATTTTCATGGTTTGCCCTTTATATGCTTTGTTCCCGCTGCATTGTAATGCCAATTTACTTTCAAAGGCAAGTTTTCTCGCTTCGCTTACCAGGATCCATGTCATGGCGAGGCTCGGGCCTTCAGCCCTCACATTCACTATAAGTATCATTGAGTCTATCCAACGCATAATTACCAATTCACTTTTATAAGAAAGCACTTTTCAAGAATGCCTCCAAAATTCTAACTGCTTAGTTAACACATAATATTCACAACATAAAAAATCTAATTTACAAAAACATTCCAATCTTTCCATTGTTTAATAGTTTAAAAGGGTGGGATAAGGGAGCTTCAATAGAGTGAAACAAATTCTATTTTACTACAGAATCCTTGTTCCAAACATATTGTTTTATTAGGTTTGGGGGCATTTTTTACTGTTTTACTCTTTGGTAGACTGCAGTACCACAATTAGGCTTGTAAACTTTACATTCTCTGATGCTCATTATAAGTAAACTATAAAAAACACGTTAAAATTATGAAAATGCATCATAATGGTTTAATCTCCGAGTATTAAGCTACAGAAGCATGTTATGTAATCATATTGAGTAATCCATAAGAGTACGCATCTGTACACTTGAAATGTATTGATGCCTTATTTTATGTGCCAAGACTCAGGCCATGAGGCCTACTTTTCTGTCCAACCTTGCAAATTTCGTTACGCTCCTTTTACCAACAAGCGGAGAGAGAAAGACAACTTGGGCAACAAAACAGTGTGTATATTACACAGATAATTGGTAAAGTGATTTTGTTAGAAAGTCAAAAGTTTCATGAGAAGTTCAAGTAGTGAGTCAAAGATATCATTTCAAACTGCTTCGTTAAATATACTGATGAAGACACACTATTTCATTACTACACATTAAATGAATTATACCTCTCAAAATTTCAGGTAATTACATGCAAGAAGTCAGACCCTATACAACAAACGCAAATTAAGTAAAAATAAAATATCTAATCTGCTTATTGTAGTGGTAATTGTTGTTACTAATTACAAAGATACTTTAAACAACTGCACTTGGCATTTAAAAGAACAGTCACCCTACAATATTTTGTCAAATGAGATCAATAGAGAGATCCAGTCTTTCCTTTCGTTAAGATTAGATAGAAACGCTACACTTTGACCCGCTCCATTGTTTTCCTGTATAATTTCTGCACTCCAATTTCCTTGTTTTTTCAGAAGTCAGTCATCCTGTATATACTTGGCCCCACGAGAGCATCGAGTGTGTCACAACGATTTACATAGCACTCTAAGTGTTACAAGTTTAAGTAATGTTTGCTTTAATTCAACTTGTTTTGCTTCTGGTCATAAATGTCACTTCATATTAACTTCTCTCCATAGCATGTCACACACAGTTTTTGACGTAAATAAATAAACCTGCCGTTAACTGGAATTATTCTGCATTTTGGAATCTACTTACTCGCAGTGTCAGGTTTCTGGCGGATTTTCGAACTGCATCTTCTGATTGCTCAAGAACAGCATCATGATTTTCAGGAGAAAGTACTTTCTTTTTACGTTTCGGAACAAGTTCTTTAGGGGATTCAACATGTTTTTCGGGAACTGCAACCGTAGTTGGAGCCACTAACCAGCTCTTTCGTTTTGAAGTTTTTGGAGATTTCTAAAAAAAAAATCATTTATAGTTAAAACAAATCTTTTATAAAATATTAGTTTTACCAAGACATCTAACAGAATATATTATAAATCAATAGTGTGTGCTCTACACTATTCTGACATTTCCTAACCTTCAGTTCCGGACGTTCTTTGCCCCCTCGAGGAAAACATTTCTCTTCGTAGGCTGGCATTCTCCCAGAGAGAAAATTCTAGATTTATTCTATAACAATGCTCGAATTCCTCTTCACCATGCACACATGCTCACACGTATTCACTCACAACGTATCTACCTCGGCCTGCTATGCAGTCAGATCTTCGTCGGTTCCGGTTGGTTCTCCGTGACCGAACTATTCACACGTGCTCGCATGTGCCTACATGTGCCATGTGCTTTGCATGATTGCATGTGCTCGTCAGTGCTCGTTTGTTCTCGCTGGCGATATATACCGATATATACACTCTGGTTCTCACCGGCTCAGCGTTCCTATAGCAGCGCTAACGGCAAGTCGTTAAACTAAAAGAATGGCAGCACCGCGCGAGATTTGGTTGTAACTGTGGCAAAAATTTATAAGGGGAATCAATTTCAGAATACGTTAATAACCAAAATTTGTATGAAATGCAAAACTGCATTTCTCAATGTTGCTTCATTTCTTTAGGAATTTTAATTTCCTGTTTTCTTCATTACAGCTTTGTTTGACAAGTGGACCTGCAAAATGAGAGTGCTAATTTAATTTATTGAAGAGCAAATTTTGCTTCTCATTGATACCATTGACATCATAACTTAATTTAAGAAGTATTAATTTAGTTAAAGTGATTTGGTGATAATATGCATCATGAAAATATTTTTATTTCTATTGCCAATTTGCTGATAGAAACAAATTATTTCGTCACAAAAAATGGGAACAGTTAAGGAATCGGAGAAGTTGGATTGGAGCACACCTTCACGTCCATATTCATATTTCTTATTTACTTTTACCTGAATCATTTATTAAATTAATTCTGATATTTTAGTACAAGGATAGAGCACACAATCGATTCCATTTTGATTCAATTCAATCACAACATTATTAACACTTCACAAAATAATAAGTAAAACTAGTGATGCTAAAACAGCACGTACTTTATCGGCAATAGCAATGGTTACGTAACGGGAGCGGTCCTGCGCGCTTTCGAACCGCCTTGGTCTTTTCGACCAAGGTTTCGATAGCGCCCGAAGGCCTTGCTGCGTTTCACGCCGCCACCACCAACACCACAGCAGCTGCTGCATCCGCCACCGCTTCGGTAAACATGACGCCGGGAGAAATTCCAGGCGTCATCAATCAGAAGGATTTCCCTGTCATTCAAACGTCCCCTTTATGGACCAACAAAAAGAGCAGAAAAGCATAGCCTCGCGCATTGCTAACGCCCTCAAGTCCTTCATGCAGGTCGACGAGAACGGATGCCTTGCCGAGGTGACGACCGATCTGGTCGCGCTCTTTGTAGCCAAGCTAACACCTGCTGAACAGTCACAGTTCAGCAAATCCGCCGCCGAGAACGGGTTTTCGGAGTTTTACCCCCGCGCATCTTGCATTCAGCCACTGCCCGCCAACGCCGCCAAATTCGACATCACCTCCGGCAAAGGCAAGAAGCGCCGCCTTTCAGACGATGCGCCGACCGCCTCACGCCTTCCACCTGACAGCTTTCTAGATCTCCCTGCGAGCGAGGAGGAAATGCAAATGGACACTTTGCCCGTCGAGAGCGCCGCCGCCGTCGCGACCCCGCTACCGGGAAACGCCGAAGCGGAACTCGCGCCTCCCGGCGCTCTGTCGCCTCCTCCACCCTCACCGCAGCGCCAGGCGAAATCGCCGCCTCTGCCGCCTCACTGCAACTACCTACGCCTGCCACGCAGCCTGCGACCGCTTCAGGGCCTGCGAAGGCTTCCAAGCGCGTCCCGCCCATCATGGTCGCGAACGCCTCAGTGGCTTCTAATGGTGGCTTTTGCCGCTGGTTCGAAAAATGGCTTCGACGCATGGCTGCGAACACCCGGTCACGGGTAAACACTTCAGGGCATTCTTCTCGCTGCAAGCGCGGAATGCCACCGACCTTGTGAAGAGCGCGTCCGCGCTGAAGAAACTGCAAACGTCGCACTTCACGCACTATGTAAGGAGGAACACGTGAGTGGCCCGCCTCCCCAAGTGTCAGCGGATGAAGTTGCTGGCGACATCGCAACGCAGTGCCTGGGGAAACCCAGGCCTGCAGTACACCCGCTGAAGATGCGCCAAAACGGGAAATTAGTTCCGTTAGGTGCTGTCACTGCCGATCTGTCACTGCCGGGCGCGCATCGAGGTCGCGAAGCGAACTGGTAGCGCACGTTTCTGCAAAAGGTGCAGCAGTTGGTCGCGCACACGCGCCTATTGCCAGATCAACCCACGCTGCATTCACTGCGGCGAAGGCCAACTGACAAAGGATTGCGGCAACAACAAAACACCTGCTGTCTGCTGCAACTGCGGAGCAAATCACTCTGCAAACTAGGCCGGTTGCAAGGCCCACAAAGCCGTAGCAGCGAAGATCAACAATGTTTAGCCAAAGCAGAGCTACACTGAAAATGTTAAGTCGAAACCACAAAAACACAGCCTTCACGCAAGAGCACTGCCTTCGCGGGCACTCATCACAAAACCCTGCGCAAGCAGCACGCGCGGTGAAGGTGGCGACGAACTTAAATGTCCGAAAGGGCAATCAAAAGAGAGCCGCTCGACCTGACAACGCCGCGCCAAAATTGCCTTCACACAACTGCTGCTAAGTCAGAGACGGAGCAACTCAGTAAGGAGGTCTCTGAGCTGAAAAAACAGGTTACAAACCTCACTACACTACCAACTCTCTGCGCTCAAGTGACAGCTCGCAATGGCTGAACACCGAACTCAGGGGAAAAAGCAGAACGCGTCCTCTTGCTTTAGCGAGCCTCGCGCCTGGAAGTCAACGGCCGTTCCGGTCACTCGAACCCAGGAGATTGACGCATTATCGAGTTATTCAGTAATCATATCGATGTTCTTTTATTGCTGGAAACAAAACTCATAAGCGCCTTGTCCTTGAGATGCTACCTTTCCAACTCGCACTGGCACTTGTATTATAACTATTTGTTTTAGCTGGGCGAATCTGCGGGAATGTTTTATTTGTTTCTTTTCAACACTATTGGTATTGTTTACGTATAATGCTCCGTAACAATGTAATATTCCATAGTATTCACATTAAGTTGGCATGACTACAAGCCAGTAAAGTTGCATTCGAGCTAATGTATTGTTTAATGTCTTGTGTAACACAAAATTGTTAATTATATTGAAATTGTGTAATATCAATACGCTCAGTAAATAATAGATTTTACTGCCCAAATTTGACTTTTTTCTTCCATAAAATCCTTATAATTATTGTTAATTTTTTGATCAATTAAGGCTGTGGGTGGGGATTAAATAAGTATGGGAGTGAAATGTTAAAGTTCCCGCGTAGCAGGTTTATTTCAAATTTTTTAAACAACGATCATAGAAATACCTTACTGGAATAATGAAAAATAATGTATTATCCACGCACGTTTTCTTGAGCCCTCATTTCGTTAGATGCAAGGGGAGTGGGGGGTTTGATTATTTTTTGACAGGAATATTATATGAAATCTGTAGCTCGTTTTTCGATGAAGCTATTTTCTATTAGGCAGGAGCAAATACTTCTGGTTATCAGAGTTTGTCAAAAAAAACTTGTTGCTATCATTTCTTTTGAATTCAATTAATATTAGTAAAGGAGTGAGGGTAGGTTTGCTAGGACCCAAGGAAACTTGCGCGTATACACACCTTTCCAATTCTTTACCAATTGCATGTGGAGTCCCGCAGGGATCGATTTTAGACCCTATTCTCTTCCTACTATACGTAAACGTTATGCCCTCGACAATTGGAAACGAAAGAACTGTTCTTTTTGCGGATGATACGAATATTGTTGCAATAAAGAATCTGTATATAGTACAATATCAGATATTTCAAATTTGTTCCGTAATAACAAATTAATAGTAAATGAGAAGAAAACGCTTTCTATGCAGTTTTCCATTTCATATCGATTCCAGCAATGATTGGGAATATTATCCACTGGTACAAATACAGGATGCGGGAGAGAATGGATTGGTTCCAATTGTGACGATTGAGATTTTGTCACGAGGTTATGTTTGACTAAATCAGCTGTTTACTTTATCAGATACATTATAAACTGTAGAGGGATCGTAAATAAATATCTTTTTCATCCATGTGAATACGAAATAAAGGTAGTAAGTATTATTATCCACGCACGTCTTCTTGACCCCTAGCTTCGCTAGTTGCGACAGGAGTGGGGAGTTTGATTATTTGGAAAAAAGGAATTTCGTATCAAATTATTTGTTCATTTTTCAAAGCAAAATGTATTCTATTACACCGCGGCGATCATTTCTGGTTACCAAATTTTGTTGACAATGCTCGTTGCTATAATTTATTCTGAATTTAACTGATGTTGACAAAAGAGAGGGAGTATGTATTCCGGGGCTCAAGAAAACGTGCGCGTACAATACTCGCACAACTTTTCTTGAACGATGGATTGAAGAAATGCGGGTAGAGTGGGGGTATTTGTTTCATAATCAGCCCCTAGATTTTATGAAGCAATGCCAATCTCTGGAGAATCAGTTTCGCAACTTTCTGAATTTGCGTTCTAACTTTCTCAGGAGTTCCGAGGTATCTCTTGTGGTCAATCTTCACCTGCTTTGATCATTTCTTGACATTTTTTGGAGAAAATCACGGACAGAAGTTCTCTTCAACAGAAAATAGTTTCTATTTCGCGTCAGTAAAGATATGTTTGGAATATTCATATCAGTGCTTGTTGCTAACTTCTGCCTGCAACTGGTTATTGTGCCAGGGAGGGAGAAGCAAGGTCGTCGTTCAAGAAAAGTTGGCCGAGTAATACCGTATATCTTAACCCAGGGCCCTGCAACCCAGCTGCAACCATCTGTATCTCTCCTCTATGCCTGCAACTCAATCAAAACTAGGAACAAAGTGCTACTATAGAAAGCACTAGTATCGCCGGGTGCAGGTGCACGTTAATTTGCCAGAGGGTAGGGAAACTTGGCGGTCAAAACGGGGTAATGATTTTTGCGCCATCTACAACAGGTCCGACGTG